CTGGGCGCACACAGCAAAATTGACTAGTCTTTGAATGAGTTTCGTTTTGCAGAAGACGCCTTTTTAAAAGACTTTGGTGTTGAATAACCATTCATCTACACATGGATGAGCATGCAGAATGAAATGTATTAGCCAGTGTAACAAAAGTGCAGAATATGCCTATGTAGTCTGTAGCATTGGGCGTTGGATCACTATTGAAAATGTCATATGACTCTCACCATAGAATCAGTTTGATATGTCTGGCCTACATGAACCATCTAAGTTCATGTTATAAGGTGCTGGAAACCTGAGAACTGTCCAAAGCAAGTAAATTCAGAACGATCTGTTTGTCTGGACTCAGTTTGAAACAAATACTTTTCTGAAGCTTTCCTTTTACAGCAGGTTTAGTGAGTCAAACAGGTTTTTTTCAGCACTGTGTTTTATCTAAGTGACCTTTATTGTTCTTTGGTTATAGAAAATAAAAGATAATAAGAAAAAAATATCTGTTAAAGACCATTGCTTGGATTATATTGTAAAAATTGTTCACATAGTTTTGGAAATGAGCAAAATGGATAAAAAGCGCTATTTATGGTAAACTCTTGAGGAAATGATAGTAACCATACAGAACTTGAAAATTTAAAAATTGAACTATGAACAGTTGTACCAATGATCTACCACTCTTGAAGAATAGCAGTTAAGAACATCCTCTGTACTACCTGTACTGTATTGAGCTTAAATAACAAATAGCGCAATGGCGACTATGCTGGCAGCTATCTTTAAAGGAACTATGTTGTGGCAGATAAAGCATCTGGTCAGTTTTATTTATATGATAACAGTCATTGCTCTGTAATATTTTTTTTTCCACAAGTCAATTCAAACAATAAATCTGCACAAGAAATTCTTACAATATGAGGGAAGATCTTATTTTGATTGAACGCCTTAAAATACAGGGGATAGTTCAAGATAAAACTGATGGATCAAATATTGGTTTCATTAAAGTCAATTGCACTTCCATTGGACTAACATTTAACTCCTAAGATTATGCTTAAGCGTTCCACTTAAGATAAAAAATTATTTGTTTCCTTTTTAGATATCTTAAAGCTGATGGAACGATAATATTTGATACCAGCTGAGGATTTGATCAAAGTTGTAGGGCAGGATCCTTGCAATGAATTGGTGGGATGGGAGGGGGCAGGGGGTTGCTTCATTAGTCTGGCTGTCCACTGTCTAGAAATAGCGGGTGGTCGTGGTGACGGTTTTAAACCCCCCACCCCACCCCACCCCCTAGGGAGCTGTTTATCTCTCTCCTTTGCAGGAACCATCTACTTCTGACAAACTACCCTTATAACTTACATCTCTGTTGGCAGCCTGTGTTGAGGCAGGAGACACAGAGATGGCTAATTACTAGATTGAGTACTGAGCTGGATTCTGGTACATCCCTGTAAATCTAGAATAAGTCCCCTGGAGTTACCAGTGTAATTGGGAGAATAAACACCTGGAAATGAATTTCCCCTTCGTCTCTAGAGGCCAGCTCTCCAGAACGTTACTGAAGTAGATATAAGTGGTACACACAGGACAAAGTAAGTAGCCTTGTGCTGCTTCTGCTCATTGTTATACCTGTTATGTAGATTATGAGACTTCAGTTTCAAGTGTTTTCAGAGAGGTACTTATTTTAAGTGCCAAAAAAAAAATTGAAAGTCATTTGTAAATATGATTTGTTGTGGAGTATATTTAACCAATACTAATAAGACATGACAGGCACTTCATTTGAGGAGGACTGCATGCCTTGAGTGCTTTACATGGCATGAGGCCAACATGCAAGTGACTTCAGCTATCCAAGAAATACACTGATCGCCTACAAAGGTACTCTAGCACCTGCACTGCTATAATAAGAAATGAAAAATTAGCTTAAAAATAAGAGGAAGGATCATACTCAGAAATATACTGAGGAATACTGATGGTGATGGGTCATTAATAAAAACTCTAATTGTAGAAATGATAAAAACATTTAATAATTATTTTGGTGCAGAAGCTCTTGCAATCTGCAAGGAGCTTTCTCACATACTCTGTTCCATTAAAGACTGCATGCAGTAGGGAATAGTTAGTATTCAGTAACATTTTATTTAGCACTGTTCATCTGCATTGGCTTTCTTTTCAGAGCACAGAATTGGGTTGTTATATCTGTTGGAAGAAATGAAATTTTCATCTTGGGCGGCTGCAAATTTCCCAACTTTCAGGAAAAAGATGAAAGAGTAGAAAAGTAAATGCCAACTATCTTTTGATAGTTTTCATAGTTGATGACTGGCTTTTGGACTTAATAACCACATCAGTGACACTTAAATGTTATTTTCAAATGCAAATTTATATTTGCAAATATAAATTCAGTCTCATGGTTTTAATATTATTCAAGGTAAATCCAAAGAGCTCTGTTGTGTTACTTATTTTATACACCAAACAATGCTGATATTATAAATTCAGTTTTCCTTTCCTGTGAAAGAAAAATTGTGCCCAGTGGGCATGTCTACAGGACACGCTTCGAGCGCAACAGACTCATTCTGTTGTGCATTAGCGTGGTGGGCAAAACCCATGCTAATGTGCTAATGCACAGTAGAATTAGTCTACTACATGGTAGGATCACTTAAAATGTGTGCACAGGTGCCACTGTGCAATAGCACCAGTGACTGCACATTTACTTAGTACCTGTTATTACAGATACTAAACTAAATGCGCAATAACCACTGCGCATTAATGCATGTGTAGACATGCCCATTGTATCACTTGTTTCAAATACAGTGTACCTTGCAGTAATGTCAGTTTGGCCAATGAAAAGAATAAACATCATCCTTATGTAACATCCAAGCCACCCTGTACCGAAAGACTTGCAAGACCAACTTGCTCCAAATCCTTGCTTGTTAAATAGTTGATTGGCCACTGTTTCTAAAGAAACTAAATCTGGTAGATTAATACTATAAGCACCATAGCCCAGATACCATACTTTAAATATTGTAAGATTAGTGGGAAAGGTGATAATTTTAATCCTTCATGTTTTAATATAAAACAAAATCCCATGACCAGCTGCCCTTGGACTTTGTATGTGTGCTGCAGTTAACAGACTTTTTCATGTTGGAATAATAGATCCTTTTTGCATCTGAAATCTTAATCCAGTGTGAAATACCAATCCAGTTGTGTTGTGATGTCGCAAAGATCAACACCTCATCGAAGGAGTAAGCAGTAGGGACAGATGAGAGTACTTCCCCTCCCTTTCCATACAACTTGCCTCCTAAGGGAAATGATAGAAAGGAGGGCAGAGGAAAACCTCTTATTTAGAAAGAGTTCTGCCTCCATTGCATTTCCCAGATTGTGGCAGGTGCTATAATAGTACGGTACCAAACCTTAGCTCCAGCCTGATGTGTGGTACCAAACCTTAGCTCCAGCCTATGTGTGGTACCAAACCTTAGCTCCAGCCTATGTGTGGTACCAAATCTTAGCTCCAGCCTGATGTATGGTACCAAACCTTAGCTCCAGCCTGATGTGTGGTACCAAACCTTAGCTCCAGCTGATGTGTGGTACCAAACCTTAGCTCCAGCCTATGTGTGGTACCAAACCTTAGCTCCAGCCTGATGTATGGTACCAAACCTTAGCTCCAGCCTGATGTATGGTACCAAACCTTAGCTCCAGCCTTATGTGTGGTACCAAACCTTAGCTCCAGCCTATGTGTGGTACCAAACCTTAGCTCCAGCCTGATGTATGGTACCAAACCTTAGCTCCAGCCTGATGTATGGTACCAAACCTTAGCTCCAGCCTGATGTGTGGTACCAAACCTTAGCTCCAGCCTATGTGTGGTACCAAACCTTAGCTCCAGCCTGATGTATGGTACCAAACCTTAGCTCCAGCCTGATGTATGGTACCAAACCTTAGCTCCAGCCTGATGTGTGGTACCAAACCTTAGCTCCAGCCTATGTGTGGTACCAAATCTTAGCTCCAGCCTGATGTATGGTACCAAACCTTAGCTCCAGCCTGATGTGTGGTACCAAACCTTAGCTCCAGCCTATGTGTGGTACCAAACCTTAGCTCCAGCCTATGTGTGGTACCAAACCTTAACTCTGGTCCGATGTGTGGTACCAAATCTTACCTCCACCTGCCATTCATTTTTCCTTTACCATAACCCATAACAGTTTTTTTTACCCCTAGTTGCATTCGACTCCGCAGAAGGAACCCCACAGCATTCACTTGGAATAAGAAAAGCATCTTCTTTGCCAGACGGGCCAAATACCTTGTACATAAAACAACACCCCCTCTCCCCCCCCGGCCCCAAAAGAAAGGATTAAAATACATTTTTTTTTTAAATTGAATTCAAAACCAAGGAACCGAGCAACAAACTCGTGCAAAAGTTGCTAAAGCAAAATGCCTCCTTGGCG